CTACTTAATGAAAAGCACAACTCATCTCAAGAAGGAAATATCGATACCAGCTGTGAGCAGAAAATGAGGGGATTCCTTCCAGGGAACATTTGAATTTCAACCCACTGCCTTTCCAATATTTTCTCTGGACGTGAAGTCTCAAATACTTTTCCGAGGATCTCATTTTTCTGCAGGAGGAGGTCAGGGAGAAGTCTGGGCAGGGCCAAAGGAGAGTCTGGCAGGGCCTGGGAGTGCAGAGACCCGCCCCACGGGGATCCCCCGACACCCCTCCATTTCTCTTCTCTGCAGACTGGAGGGAGCAGCCACCCGCCCCAGGGTGCTAATGAGAGCCCAGGAAAGACCCTCACTCCAACTGCCATGGGGCCAGCAGGGGTAAATGACAGCCCTGTGCTGCTGACGCACAAAAGTTGCCCCCACCAGCACAGCACTGGGGACCAGGATATGCCACTAACCTCCTCTCTTTAACAACACCACTTCTAAACCACTGCCTAGACTTTCTTTCTTTTTCTTTTTTTTTTCAGTATGTTCCAGAGAAGCAAAGGGAATCCAAGCATCAGGGAGAAAGGAGAAGGCCTCGGTTCAGGAGGATTTTCTGACTATGACCTCTGTTTTACCACCACCGAGAGAGATCACAGTCCCTGGAATCAAGACAGCCTTGGCTGTCGGCAGCGCCTGTGCCCACGGAGCCCCCACGAGAGAGCGCGGAAAGCCTTTTCGCTCACATTCCTAACTCCCAGCTCCCACTAGCCTGATGGCTAAAACAAAGGGCAACTTATCATACATAATCTCATATTTGAGCATGTATCAACACAATACATATAATAACATAACACAGTATTGGGTAATATAACACGGAAACCACCTGTTTTATCAAGAAGTAACAGGCTGTGCCAACTCTTGTCCTATTCGCGGATGTGTGGCTGCCACTCTCCCACCCATCTAGTCCATGGGATGCATGGGATGCCTGCACAGAGGAGGTAATGGAGGCACAATGTCAGGGTGGAGCTCCAGCTCCACCACCTACTAGCTACGTGTAGTACTAATAGCTAGTACTAACAGGCCTTTGGGTAAACCACTAATGTCTCTAGGTTATGGTTTCCTCACCTGTTAAATAAAGACAATGTCAGTGCTTATTATTACCATAGGCATAATGATTAAATGACTAAAGTAATGGGAGCGCTCGGCAAAAAATAAGCCCTTGGGAGTTAATCATCACAATGACAATCATTATAATAATTACTATGACTATAAAAACATTCACTGATGCACAGCTCTGTGCCAGACTCCAGACTAGGCAGCAAACAACGCGAGCCCTCTGATTTTGTAGGAGTCTTTAGTGGGGCATTGGATTTCCCACAGCAACACCACCAACATGACCTTGCCTCCTTCTCTTGCTGGGGACGATGGTAGGCCCAGACACTAGGGCCATTTACAGCATGAAAACCCCCCTCCTGAAACCATGTTTAAACAATTCTGGGCATTATGTGGCAGGTACCCACGACCCCAGGAGGCCAGCCCAGCACCGTGCTCATCTTGCAGAGGTGTCTTTTGTGTGGGTTTTGGGTTTCAGCTGGGCAACGAACACCATAGAGTGAGTCGCAAAACGAGTTTTCACAAGCTCACCCTGTCACAAACCAGGCAGGGGTTCACGCTGACATCCCCACAGTAAGATTAAACAGCATGCTTAGTCAGGCACTAAATACTAACACAGCTCCGACGTCAGGGGGACACTGATTAAAACTGATGTCAATAATTTATGAAACACAATATGGTCTTCAGATGCTCTTTCTGGGGGGAAAAAGGGAAGGGAGAAAAAAGGGCCTAGCAACCCAGGTGGTTTAAAACTGTTCATGCATTTTCCCTTGAATGCACCCCCCCACACCATGCATGGATGCTTCTTTACACCATGAATGTAAGTGCACATGTGTATAAAAGCATGTGAACACTGCTGATACATATGGGCGGAAGAAAGTATTTAGTTATTCCACGGAGAGCTGTCAAGGCTGTAACATTATACATAGTCTTGTCTTTCATATTGTTTTGAGGGTTTTTTTTTCCCAGAAGAAACCCAAAATTGCATTTAAAATAAAATTGGGTTTTACAAAGGTTCACATTTATTCCATAGAGAACTCAACCTTGAAACACCACCAAAAAGAAAGCTGGACCAAAGGAAACCTATAGGATATATGCATTTTTTACTCATCTGAAAGTATCCTGGCCCTGTGGAGAAGAGCCATTTAGTGAAATGGTAGCAAACAGTTTTTCAGAGTTTTAGGCATTGGGGTAACCTGGAGAAGGGTACCACTTCAGTCTATTCTTAATCATGTTTCATTTTAAAAGGCAAAGACAGACTAGCACTGTGACGGTGTTTTATTTTTTATCAAGACTGATTTTTGGAATAAAGAATATAAACAGTTCTTTACTTTGCCTTAGTTGTAAATAATCTGGGTAGCTTGGCTTTGTATGTCATCAGTGTGAAATTCACAAGCTAGGATTATGTTGGGGGAAAATCTGAGCCGCTGATAGTACAAAAGTTAGTGTTTGGAGGATTTATTAACGCTTTTTCCTAGCACAGGGCCCTGTCGTCTCTCAGAACACCTGTCAAACACTAACTCATTCACGCGTCTCCACCGCAGGCCTGTTCGTAAAAAGCTCGACCTTTCATTGTAAATCACTTTTAAATTGTCTTTGCTGGCTTTCTCTTCTGCAGAATGATGGAAAAATCACTGCGGCTTCCATTTAGACTTTAGGGAAACTTCCACTTCACTTTCCCGGCTGCATCTGCAAGGCGTGAGGACGTCTATACATAAAGGAAACTAGAAATAACTCTAACAAAGTTAGTAAGTTGAATTGGCTTTGCTTTTACAACATGACTGAGTAATTGGCAAAATTTAAAGATTCTTTCGCTACTGGGAATTAAAATAACTTCAGTAAAAAACAGAAAATATTGTTAGCCTATTATTTGTCATGTAGATTATGTACTTATTAGGCCTAATTAAACTTTTTGAGCAAAAAGGCTTACTAATTACATTTAGTTAATATGTTGATTGCTCAATTTGGACTAAAAAAAAACGGCCCATCCAATTTGTGCACAGTTAGTGCTTCTAACAAAAGACAAAATCCTAAACAACAGAGGTTACCTCAAGTGCATAACCAGTATCACAGCAAATGTGGGTTCTGTCTCAGAAGTACAGGGAGAGGTAGGGGTGGCTGACAAATCTGAACAAACCCAACACTGAGAGGGATCTTCAAACCAGTGAAATGTTACCAAGTCCAGTTTATTTGCTTCAGTGTATTCACTTGCATTTGTCCAATTAGACCCTGCTGGTGACAATTCAAAGGTATCTTTCATACTTGCATACACAAACTCAAACTGATAGCAAAACCCTGGGAGGCCCTTGGAATGTCAATACAGGGTTTTTCCGCACAAAAGGAAGAAAAGAACAGAGGAAAGGGAGAAAAGGGGAAGAGATGGGAAAAACCAACATTTCTGAAGAACTCGACCAGATCAAAGGAATTTTATTCTCAAAGAGCACTAATTCCGGGTATAGCTACTATCTCACTGGGGAATCCTGCAAACTCTCGTCAAACCCACAACCAGCTCCGTCTCTAAAACCAGGGAAGAGAACAATTACATCTGCAACTCGGGACACACTGAGTGCAAAAATGGAGGCCCCGCCATGCAACGGGAGGCCCTGCTGGGCCTCACCGCGACCCGGCTCTCCAAGACATGTTTTCCATTCGATTGCTCAAAAGTCTGCATCCGCAGTCCATGAGGCACAAACTATTCGACAACAACATGACACAATTAATCAGAACCAGACCTCGAAACGTGTGTTTGTGGGGACCAGCAAACGGCAATGCGCCGCGGAAGGCGAAGCCGCTGCAGACTCGCACTGGCTGCCTGGGGGGTGGGGAGAGGCGGAGGGAAAATCTGTGTGTTCACGAAAGATGCACACCAAATGGCACTTGACAAACTAAATAATTTTCATTGAAACAAAAATGATGGGTTTGGAAATTTACTTCTCATCCTGGAAGAGTAAAGTGTTGCCTTACTATCTGCCCCTCCTCCCCACCCGGTGCAGGAGAAACTGGTGTCTGAAAGTTTCTACAGCAGCAAAACTGTGCGATTCAGAAATAAAAGGTATCCATTTTTTTAAGCCTCGTTTCTGACACGACGTATTCCCCAGTGCCGGTTTTTGTCAGTTTTCTCTTTCAGGAACTGAAACCCAATTAAAAAGTGAGAAACTGGACCTTTAGTTAATTCAAAACTGTGTAACTGCACCAAACTCTGACACTAACAAAAAATTCTGGAATACTTCTTTTTTGAACCAGAACTGAATTGGTTTAAAATTATTGAACTCTTCTTTGTAATCTGTAGATAGTAATTTAAATCACATCATTCTTTTGCTAACACAAACACACGCTGTCCGAAAGAAAAAAAAATTGTTTTTCAAACGATAAAAGACAATTCGTTGGGTACAGAACTGGCCCCAAACTGCAAATCCCTCTGCCATCTCCCAAGGGATTTACGGTTGGGGGGGCCGCAACTTCCCGGGAAGCGGCCGGGATCCCCAACCGCTCACCCAGCTGCAGCCCTGGGGGGGGCGGGGGTGGAGGTGGATCACAGGGACCCGCTAAACTAAGGGTTAGGCAATGAGTTTGCGTTTGGATCCAGGTTAGAGGGACCAGTTGGCAAATTTTCTGCAAAACCCTCTCCCCGTGGCATTTCTCGCGCTTCTGCTTGGCTTCACAAGGTGTATCGGGTGCAAACCAGAGACTCTACGGCCAGCGCCACGCCAGCGAATGGTCGTGCTCTCTGCCCCCGTGGGCCCACTACATCCCGGAACGCACCTCCCACCATCCCCGCGGCAATACCACAACGGATGATCCTGAGGCTGCGGCTGCCGCTGACGCTCCAGAGAACTCGTGGCTGCGAGGCCCGAGAGCAACCACCCGGGTCCCCACCGCCGCCCGCACCCCCGCGACGCTCCACTCACCCACGCACTCGTTGGCCTCGCGGGCGGTGGCGCGCTGCCAGGGCCGGTCGTAGTGAAAGGGTTTGCAGCGGTCGCACTCGGGACCCGCCGTGTTGTGCCTGCAGTCGCACACCAGGCTGTCATCGCGGTCGCGCACGCAGCGGGCCGCGTGTCCGTTGCACTTGCAGCGGCCACCCACCTGCAGGTCGGACACCGCATAAAAGTACGAGTCGCGCGCCAGCTCCGAGTCGTCCTCATTCTCGTCGCCGAAGGTGTGCAGGCGGCTGAAGGCCACGCGGATGTCGGTGGCCGTGACCCAGTCCTGCAGCACCGGCGAGTTGTCGAAGTCGTGCGCCGAGGGCCGCCCGTCCAGCGTGCTGAACGCGATGAGGCCGCCCGAGAGCGGGCGCATGTCCGTGTGCGAGTCCGTGCACACCGCCTCCTGCTCGTTCTGCTTGGTGATGGGCGCTCGGTGCGGCCGGTTGTACATCTTGCGGCACTGCGTGGAGTAGAACTGGAAGGGCACCCACGTGCGCCCGTAGTCCATAGACTTGTAGATGGCCATGGACTCGGGCCTTGGAGAGCAGAACTGCAGGCTCACGTAAGTCACCTCGAACTTCTTGCCCAGCGACAGCGTGAGCGTGACATTGTGCGGAAACTGCAGGTAGTTCTCGGACTGCCAGCACGTCAGGTTGTGCGGGTTGTTGAGATCGGTGAGGAAGGCAGGCGGGTGCGCCTTCTTGGGGTCGGAAGCGTTGCAGAGGTGGCAGGAGCGCAGCCGCTCCTCGCCCCGCTCGCTCACCACGCAGTAGCGCGCCGGCGGCCGGCCGCAGGTGCTGGACACGCGCACGTCCTTGCCGAAGGCCGCGTTGACAAAGTCCGGGATGCAGCGGCGGGGATGGCCGTTCTCATCCGAGCAGGGGTCCGGCTGCGCCGCCTGGCCCGCGAACATGCTGAGCCCCGGCCCGCCGCGCACCGCGCCCACCAGGCAAGCCACCGCCGCCAGCGCTGCCAGCGCCTCCCACACTGCGTGCATCATGCTGCGTCCAGCTTGCCCCGGCCCCGCCGCGCCGAGGAGTCGTCTGCCCGCCGCAGAAGGCGCCTGCGGAGAGAGGGGAGCTGTGCTCAGCCAGCCCGCCCCGCGCCCTCCATCCCCCGCGGGGCAAAGAGCCGGGGCGCGGGCGAACGCCCAGCTTCTCCAGCACCAACCCCGCGCCCGACTGCCCGCCTCGCAGAGGAAGGCGAATCCGGGGGGCCCCCCAAGCAAGAATTGCCCGCGCTTCTCCCCGGCTGAGCGGAGAACCGGGACCGCGGGCTAACGCTCGGCTGCCCAGCCACCACCGCCTCCACGCCGCCCGAGGGTCATGCCCGCGCCGGTCTGGCCTCAGCGAGCCCGCCTGGCACCCCAAGACTCGGGTGCAGAAGAGCGCGGGGGCCCCCAACCCCGCATGACCCGCGCCCCTTCCTCCTGCAACCTGGGATCCCTCTCCGGTGCCCCAGATCCCGTCCCCGCCGGAGACTCCACATTCGGGACTTTACCTCTGGAGAGGGCAAAAGAGAAAGAAAAGTTTGCCAGGCTCCGGCCCCGGCCGGGGAGCCCGCACGCCGCACAGCTAAAGCCTCTCGCTCGCAGCCAGCAGACGCGTCCTGCCTCAGCGCGGGCTTGCCAACTCCATGCCCGGCGCGGCCGCCGCTACCCAGCCCCGGCCCCGGCCCCGCCGCTGCGCCGACTCTCCCTCCCGAGTGACGAGGCGGCCGCCCGTCTCCCGCCGCGGCCCGAGTGCTGCCCAGCCCGCGCCCGGGGCGCACACTCACTCACGCCCGCTGGCGCTTACTCACTCACACACACGCACGCACGCCTCCGAGGGCTCCGCCGCCGCCGCCGCCGCCGCCGCTCCGCGGGGAGTGGGGGGCGGAGGGGAGCGCGGGGGCGGGGGGCGGGACCGCCGGGCGGGGCGCCGGCCAATAACGTCGGCGAGCAACCGCCGCCTGCGAGCAAAGTTTTCACCCCGGGAAAGAAGAAAGTTAAACGGAGCCGGCCCGGGTCGCGGAGAGTGCAGAGAACACGACCGGGTGGGAACCCGGGAGCCCGAGAAAGCAGAGCAAAGACAAAGAGAAAGCGAGAAGAGCGCCCGGGGAAACCCCGGAGAGGGGGCTGGGCCCGCGCGCACCCCTCGGGGGGAGGAGGGGCCGGCCCGGGACGGTCAGCCTCGCCCCGGCCCCGCGCTGCCCCGCGAGCCTCGCGGGTTTCCGCCGGCCCCACGCCTCCGGGAGCTCGCGGGCGGGGGCGGGGGTGGGGGAGGGGACGATTTTCTCCCTCAGGGTCCCATCCAAACACATCTGTGTTTGTTTTCTTTGCAGCGCTGAGGTCGGGCCTTCCTCTAACCCAGACTGATGGCCCCGTTGGCACCGCGTACAGCGCGGTGCCCCTGTCCGCAAAGAGCCCGGAGTCACGAGCTCCGGGGACAGAGCCTCCGCCTGCTTACCCCTCCCGCCGAAGCCTCTGGGGTCCGGCGAGAACAGGCTGCTGCTCCGTAACGCCCCCTCCACACACACACACACGCACACGCACTCACACACATGCACACACCCACGGTTGTCACTGTGCGATGGGCCTGCCCTGAACCTGGCTGCTTTCTTGCCGGGGCAACTGAGGTGAGCAAGAAGAGATGCGGGACAGCACCCAGGCACCGGCCAGCGCCCCTCTGGACAGGTCTCCGGAGCCTCAGTCTGGGGGAAGCCCAGCCTCCCCGGATTCCCAGCGGCAGACTCATAGTACCTCCTGGCCCGGGTTTTAAAGGGTGCTGCACCCCATACTACCTCACGGGAGCCCCACAAAAGCTTTACAAAGCAGGTATGAACTCCTCGTTGCAGCTGAGGTCACTGAGGTCTCAGGAGGTGAAGACACGTGTCCAAATCTCCCATCTAGTAAACATGAAATCCAAGGCTAGAGACCTGGGCTCCTTCCTCTCCTCCCATTTGCCAGAAGGATACTCCCACGCAGTTGTGTTTTCATGGGACGTCCTCGGGCCCACCCAGCTTCTCCTTCTTGCCTCACTCTCTACCACCTTAAAAAGGATTGAGCACAGCGGCAGCATCCTTTGACCATCTTGCAGCAGCAGCCAAAGAGCTTTGGGGAAAGAAAGGCACTGGGCTGAGAGTTTGGGACTCTCAGTTTCTGTTGGCTTATTTGCTACTAGTAATAGATCTGGGTTGAAAGCTCAGGGTCCTGGTTCTGGCCCACTAGCTGACTTGCTGCATTAGCTCCATTAAGTGCTTTATTTTGTCTTATTGGCATTTTCATAAACTCTGAGACTCTAAGAAGGGGCCTCAGGGTTGGTCTGGCCCAGCTCAGTCTTGAAACAATGCCTTTCCCTGCATCCCTGCAAGACAGCCGCGCAAGCCAGCTCTTCCAGGCACAGGAGTTCACCCAGCCCAAGGAAGTAGATCCACCCGCCACAGGACCCACTGCCTGGGCCCATCCTCCCCACCCCCCTGCCCTAGCACATCAGCTTTGCCTTCTTGTGCCACTACCACTCCACACCGGTTATTTATGCCTTACCTTGTGGCAGAGAGGATTTCAGGTGACTTACAAGGGTACTTAAAGCATGGCAAAATATCATAAATTAGAAGGTGAGCTGAAAGGAGATGAACATAATGCTTAACCACTATGGACTGTGAAATTCCAATGGTATGAAAGGCAGCCTAGCAGTTTGGAGCACACACTTTGGAGCCAGAGTGTGATGCTGGCAAGTTTTGCAACTGTCTGTGCCTTATTTTCCTCATTTTCAAAAAGGATACAATGATATCTATCTACCTCATAAAGTTGTGAGCATCCATGGGTGGACATATGAATATTATAGCTTACATTATGTATATGTGTATACATATTGTACTTATACAATCTATATGAATATACTTTCACATATATATGTAAATATACATAAAGCCAGACATATAGTAGATGTAGAAACCATTTGTTCTTAGTATTAAATTGCTAGGTCATTATAGAAATTTCAAATTATTTAATAAAAATTTTAATTAATAAAATTATAAAGTGAAAAAACCAATTACATAACACTGTAGTCCAAAAAACACTATGCGCAGTACACTCTCATTTTATTCTTTTTGAAAAAGTATGCATACAAAGACAGCGTTGCTAATTGTGGTTGTCTCTGGATGGTGAAATTAAAGGTGACTTTTATTTATTTTTGCTTGTATGTTCTCCATTTTGTATAGCAAAATAAGAAGAAAAGCTAAGAGAAAAAAGAAAAACCGAGAGGGAAGACCAAGTAGAGACAGGAGTGAAGCTAAAGTGCATCCTGGAAAAAGCCCTGCTCGTCCCCCGTGTGTGGGCCACGAGTCTGCCCCTGGGCTCCCCCCCCATGCCCACCCAGCAGCCAAAATGAAAAGGAGACCATGCCAGCTACACACTTCCCAGTGTCCCTGAGATAAAAACAGACCTGTTACTCAAGAGAGTCACAACTGTTCTCGGCACTGAACTCAGACAGGAACTTCTCCTGGGGGCCTCACAAGGGAACTCAGTGTGAGGTGACCAGCAATCACCCTCCACGACATCCCCCTCCTAGTCCCAGCAGTGGGCTCTGGGGGGCAATAGTGGGGCTAGCGCACAACATAAGCTGATGGGAGCCCACCAGAACACAGGACAAGATGCACTGAAGGAGGCAAACCAGCGCACCCCACTTGTCCCCCAGCCCCCTGGGTCGGGCAGGCAGCAGGGTTGCAGCTGCTCTCCCTGGAGGGCAGCTCTAAGTTGTCAGCGGAGCTCAGGCCTCTGGTCTTCTGGAGGGAGTTGAGGGAGAGAGCTTGCCACTTTTATTTCTGTCCTTCGGCCTAAGCGTACCTTCTCTGGTAGTTCTGGTGAGCAGGACGGTCTCGCCTTTATCTGGGGGTCCAAAACCCCCTAGGACACAGCAGAACCTGTCTGCCTCCTTGAGCCCACCTCCCTGTCACTTGTGCAGCTGGTCTGACTCCAACTCCACACAGCAGCCCAGACCGAGGTTCTCCCTCCTCAAATTTTTGAAATCAGCCCTCCATCACGCCTCAGTGTTAGGTCTTCTAGGCTAAATACTCCCGGTTCTTTGAAAGGTTTCTCGTGGGACATTGTTTTCTGACTACTCTGCACTCTCCCAATGCCCCCTAATGTGTCAGCGTCCCTTCCTAAAGCAACTGCCTTCTGAGGGGACCAATGAAAAAAACAGATGTCCAAGTGTCGTGAGAGCTTCTAAAGTGGGGGTTATAAACACACAGCGGCAAAGGCGTGTCAGGCTCTAAGCAGCGGGATCCATGGCACACACTGGAGTTCAAAACAACAGCGTGGCTGTCGGGTGAGAAAGCAAATTCCCAGGTGTTTCTGCAAGGAATGTGCAGGGAGGGGGCCCCCCTCCTTGGCACCCAGCCTTACCTGGAGCCCAAGGATCACCTTGGGAAGAGGAGAATGTGGCAGTTTCAAGAAGACCTGAAGTAGCCAGAATAGAAGGAGGAAAACAGGAGACTCAGGTGTCCTGGAAACCAACAAGCAAGTTCAGAGAAGGAGGGGCAGTGAGCAGGGTCACATGCTTTCAAGGTCAAGATAAGATCTGAAAGGAGTCCTTTGGATTGAGCTACAAGGAAATCACTGGTGACCTTGACTAGTTGTGGCAGAGGAGTGGTAAGGACAGAAGCCAGACTGCGGCAGGTTATGGAGTGAATGGGAGGTGAGAAAGTGGAAGATAGTGAGTGTAGACAACTCTCAAGAGGTGTGAAAACAAGTGGTAGAAAAGAGATAGGGTGATGTCAGGAATGGAGTGATAGATGGGGTGACATGGGATTGACAGAAGACTGGGACTTTTATTGTTGTTTATAACATCAGGCTAGTTAAACATGCCTAAACGTTGAGAGGAAGGAGCATAAGGAGAAAGGCTGAAGACAGATACCACCAGCCTTGTAAAATTTGCAGTCAGGTGGTTCTAAAGCTTCTCTGGTTACCACAGGATAGGAAGTGGCACCCCCTGCTGAGAGTGAGGGAGCAGGTGGGAGCTTTGGAGGTCTGGGAATGGGGGAGAAGGCTTAATTGGGTCATTACAGAAGAGAGGATAATGT